CCTGCAATGAAGACTCTGAAAAAAACAAGCGAGTGGCTACAAGTGTAATACATTTTCAGTCCATCCGCAGTGTCGTAATCAGTATAGAAAAACACATGTTGGTAACTGTGGGAAGATTACATACTGTTGAAGTACATTACAACTAGTAGAAAAAGCACTGTTTCGATTCCAGGCGCGAGTGACTCCATGTGTCAGAAAACGACTTCACGTATAGCATCGCCACGTTGAAGAGACCCTCCAGGTCGTATACCACATGAAGACGGGAAAGTTCCGCGTCTCACTTGTTCCTTTCGGAAGTCGTCAAAGGGGCATAGAACAAGACAAAGGCAACGAAGCAAGCATGCAGAGGCACGGGTCTACCGCACCAAACACGCACAAGGAGGGGCTTAGCCCTCCCAGAGAAAATACTTTCATTGATCTCGGCACCTGCCCCGTAAGCGCACCCATAAGGGCAAGGTGCAAAGACAACAACCACAAGGTCCTAAGCTAAGCACAAGTACAAGATACAAAGAAGATAAGACAATTCGATAGCTACAATCACAAACCAAGCGTCACAGAAGAGGTTGATAAGTCTTCAGAACAGACAATCCCCATGGATGCTCGTCCCTCGCCCTGCTGCTTGTTGCTCCAAGAAAGCGCCTGCCAACCAACTGACACAAAACAACCCTAACACAGAAACAGTTTCCATGAAGACGAGAACAACTCACGCTCATAAACTCATCGATGCCAACATACAGAAGACGACGAATGCCACGGCTCTGAGTACTCGTCACTATCCTGAAACCCTAAGAAAAGCGAAGATCCTGGATGCTGATGGATACAATGACCCTGACAACCTCTTTCCATTATTAATTGTTGCCTGCCGTGCTGGGAAGTTGGGAACCTCTCCCTCGGACTCATCGAAACAAAACCCTCGGCTGTGGCGTGAGCGGACCTCTCTGACCTCGAAAGAACTGACTGACGAGCCTGAGTTGCGCGGCATGGCGAACGTGCTTGACGAGCCGCTTTCGAGGCTCGAGACTTTCTGGTGAGCTGGAGGAAGGTTTGAAGCGGGCGAGCCTAGTCCGACATCATTATGTGGGCTGCCCGAAATGTTTGCAGAGATCTTATTGTGTCGAAAAGTGTTGGAAAAGTCGAATATACGAGCAGTATCGAAACTGATTTCACATTTCCAGTGACGCAAGAAAACATTTTCCCGTTGCCCCGCCAATAAAGTTCGGTGACGTTATGCCTTGTTGGCCAAGGGACTGGCAAACCACGAAAACCCCAAACTCAGGGCTCGTCCGTAGTTTTGACATGTCAAAACACTAGTGTCAATTTGCTCTTTTGACACTCACCAACATTGTTGCCAGCGTGTCATATTTTCACAGCTGATAGCCAATAAAATTCGTCGGATACTTTCAGCTCTGACTCAGTTAATACCTACAAACCAGCCAGAGTCGTCGCAGAAACTAGTCGGATGGTCCCCCAATGGCCGATCAAAATACACCGCTTCCTACTTGAAACCTAAGAACGGACGTGCACGAATCGTTTGCATATGCGAGTAACTCCCAACGAATGATCTTGCGGCGTGGATCTTCGTACAGGCGCTTCGAGCTGACGCCGAAGCTACAGTGATGGACACGCAAAAACACTCGCGCTTTGGGTTGACACGCATAAACTTGACATGTCAAAACTTCGGACACGATCTCATGCAGACTAATCATTTCGTTCCAAACCATCCAGCCATGCCAGGCTTGAATGGCGAACCGAGGTCCAAACCATGATACACGTCAAGCTGGGCTACACCCCCTCACCACCATTAAGGGGGTTTGAGAACGGTTTACACGTTGAACTCTCCTAAAAGCATTCAACTAAATGCATGCTAAATGTGCTCAACGCCAGTTCATACTAACACAAGCTAATTCGACTTTACTGCTTGGGCATTTCCATCATATACACGACACTCACTTCTCATGGCATACCATTCCATCAAGTTGCTACTCCAAACGATGGAAATTATGATAGTTTCATTCCGCCACCCTTTTAAATCTTCCTGTCACTGGGAGATAGATTGCTGCCACCAAGGGACAATAAAGATTATATTATCGGCTTAACATTTACTAACAAATCAAATCAGGAACCCGACAGCAACTAAGCAGCAACTAAGCGGGATAGAGGAGCAGGAAGGCGGAAGGGCATAGGCAGCTCACGTGGCTAGAGGCGAATCACTGACAAACACTATTTGCAGCAAAATTCAGTAGCAGAACCAGCCAGATACCATGAACCGTTACAGGTATTATGTCATACTTTAACTAAATTGCAAGAGTCAGGCAGTAGCTAGTTAGCAAGAGTTAAGACGCCCACCTAGAATGCAGATGAAATATTGTAGATCCAACCAGGATGTCACGCAGCCTGCAGAAATATAAGCCACATGAGAAATTTCAGCACCATTTCCTAAAGTACATATAATTGGCATACAATGGCGTTAACCATAAAACGTATGGCATGGGGAGCGGATATAAATATCCATACTCTTTCTCTTTTCGCCATTAACTGGCAGTATTAGTACAAGTATGTACCCAACAACCGTCTTTCGTCAGAAATGGTAGCTTCACAACGTCTTAACGTAGAAACTTGAGCGACTCCCGAGGTCATGTGGCGCTTCTTCAACCACTTTCAAGTGTGGACGAGATTTGGTTGACTTCAAAATAGCTGATGGACTTGCCCTCCACGCATCGTTATGCTGTTAATGGACCTCTCAGCAATCATATTGCTCAGAATGGCTGATGGACTTGCGCCACATCGAACTGCTAACGCCCAACGCTGCGTGTGGTTCACGATGGCTTGGCGGGTCACACAATAAGAGAGGGGGAAATAACGGGCGGCCGAGGCACGGATCTACCGTACCTAACACAAACAAGGAGGGCTTCGCCCTCCCACAAAAAATATTTCCATTAATCTCGGCACCCGCCCCGTAAGCGCACCCATAAGGGCAAAGGTGCAAAGACAACAAGCACAAGCTCCTACGAAGAGAGACGATATACCATGTACAACAATACAGGCAGCCACGTAGAAAAACAGATATAATCAACAAACCAATCTTCCATGACGATAGAAAGACGTCTTCAAAGTGGATGGTCCTCGCCTGATGATTCTTCACCGTCACCGTTGACACAAGCAAAAGAGACAGCCATCTGCTATAAATAATACACGGTAAGCTTCGTCAAGCAATTGCATATATTACTTGTTTGCAGGGTTAAAGCGTTCTAGGAACTGAACAATAGATTAAGACCTACCTTCAGGAAACCTGCAGTGAGCAGGGGAAGGATGAAAAAACACCGACGAAATGGAACTGAAAGAACTACTGCTCTACCATGACTAAACACAGTGGAGGAGCGGCCCATAAGGTTATGTACACGAAACCCTAGCTTTGGGAATGAACCCTTCCGTTTTGCCGAGTGTTCTTCACGAACCTACTAGAAGGCTCGGAGTCAGGTGAAGGCTTGGCCCAAACTTGAAACGCGTTACCCAGATGCTTTGGGGTAGCCTTGGCCACACGCAACCCTTGAAACGCGTCACTCAATCGCCACAATTCTCATCGATTGTCTCGACAGGGGGCTCCCTACACTTGCCATGAATTTCTATCGAACCCCAGCACCAGATACTGCTGCCCCCGCCATCCATACCGTTTCCGGGCCGAAAACCGAGCCAAAGCAGGTATGGTTCAAGCTCTCCGTCTGCTCCTCCTTGCCTCATTGTCAACCACCGGAACCGTATCTGACGCAGAAAACCTGCACTTCCAAGCCTCGAAAAATCCCGCCTGGAGCGCTGCTTCTGTGGCACGGCAGGCACATAAACTTCGTTCCGCTCAGTGCTTATAGCGAAGAAGCCCACGACGGTGATTACACCCAGCCGTGAATTCACTTCCAGCAATGTTCGTGGAGCAGCAAGGCTTTGAGCACGGAACTTCCGTGACGAAGAAATCATGCTACAATTATCGGTGTTACAGGACACTTCTGAACTGTACTATGACGATTTTTGTTGTGTTTCCCTCCACTGTCACCTGGAGCCAGGGTGACATCCTTCCGCAGTTCCCAAGAACCTGGAGCCTGACGAGCAACGAACAAGCAGCCCTCATTTCCGCCTTCACAAATTCCTCGTTTGCCAAAGCCATGCTGTTTTACTCGAGTCGCTTCGTGGACTTGCATTAGCAGGGATAAGTGAGCATGTGTATGTAGGTGCTAGGCTCGCAATATTCCGGCTTGGCAGGAGTTTTTATTCCGCCATGTCGTTCGCTCACATTCTTGCGGATGGGTTCGGAAATCCCAAGCGGTGCTTGGGGGTAGTTGGTTCACCTCAGCCAAACGACGTCACATGTCCGACTGCCTTCGTCGACTTGGTCTTTGGAGCTCTAGGTTCCGCCTTAGATGCGTTTAAGGACCGTGAACTGGGACTGCCATGCGACAAGCACTCGTCGCGAGCGACGTGGAAATGTGATCGCATCTTGAGCGTCCTGAACGCGTGTTTGAAAGAACTTGATCACTGGAAAGCTTTAAACACTCCAGGTGCTTCACAAGCTTTATTACTTGTCCTAGACTACGTCTATGTTCCACAACTTTTCCTGTTTACTTTTTTTACTTCTTTTCTCGCCGTACCCGTTTTAACGTGTTTAGTCGCTGCAATGGCCTCCTCTCGCCGTTTTCTAAAGAGTTTTTTTTTTCTTTTTTTTTTTCTTTTTTTCTTTTTCCGGATGTGCCGTACTCTCAGATGGAGCCTTTTCCGAAGGTTCCGGTCCCAAGGCCCACCTGTCGAAACACTTAAGTGCGGACAGCCTTTCAGAGGACCGAATAAATTGTGCGAGCCATAGCCTAGTGGCTCCTATACCGTCGAGCTTAAACTCCCACAGCATCTCCGTCTCGCCTCCCCCTCAGCTCGGCGGTCGCTTCGGCTTCGGCCGAAGATTCGGCGAAAATAATAAGACCGAAAATGGGTTATCTTCGTCGACCATGTCTTGTGTCATGCCGGTGCCATCCTCCGCGAGTGAGGGCTCTGCGGCTGCTGGCGACTGGGGATTTTCGGGACCCGTGAAAGGGTTTCCTTCGGCTCAGACAGCTCCGCTGTCGACTCTCGACGTCGCAGGTACATTTTGTATGGGCTCGTTACTTTTTAACCCAGGACCAATGCGCGGCTCGTCTCCGCGCTCGTGTTTAGCACTCCCGAAACCCCCCCAAGGTTACCAAATCGTATCCACTTTCTCGTCCAATCTCCCTTTCCCTTCCCTTCGCCTTTCCGCTGCCCTCCTCATCCTGCTTCCCTTCCCCTCTCTCCTCAGCACCAGCGGAACAGAGTCCCGCCCAGGGGGAGCAGTGGGAAGCGCTGTACGCGTCAGTGCAGGTCGCGGTGCTCATGTATAACGCGCAGTTCGTCTCCGCGCTGGCGGATGGTTTCCCGCCCGCTGCTGACGTCATAGCGTCCCTGGACGAGGCCCTGCAGGACCTGGCGATAGACGTCTACGTGGCAATGGATAAGATGGAAGAGGTGAGCTATGCAGTTTACGTGGCATTGGATTAGACTTTCCGGTTCTGGGAATCGGGGAAGGGAGGCTGTGGGGACACACTCACGCGCCATGCATTCCCTCGTCAATCGTCCTTTCCGTTTCCCTATCACCAATCCTTGCACGCGTTCCTCCACTCCACCCCCCTCCCCAGCTCTTAAGTTAACAATACCTCATTATTCATCCTCTCGACATCAAAACAGGGAGTAAGCCAACGAGCCTCGCTGTTTCCTATCCGCGTCTTTGCAATGTGTGCGTCTCTGGAAGTCTCTCGCTGCCGTAGGCTGTTCCCGAAGCTGCAGGAGGAGGAGGAAGAGGAGGAGGGGCAGCAGCAGCAGAAAAGTGACCACTGTGTAGCAGGGGAAGTGTCAGGTGAAGGGGTTTCTACGGATGCTCCAGGGATTTCAACAGAAGTTTCAGGAGAACTAAAAGGTTGGTCTTTCCTTGCCGCTGCTGGCAATCTCAGGGACCAGACAGTATCCGCAGCGCTTCCGCCGTTGGATGAGGACGATCTGACGGTTCTGGAGCAGCTGTTGGAGGAGGCGGGGGACGAGATTCAGGGCCTGTTCCTAAACTGCAAGGGGTCACTGTACGGTCTTGGTGTCACACATGCTCGTTCCCTCGCCCATTTTTCTATCTTGGGGAAGGCACTGAAAGCAGCAATAGAGGGAGCAACGGAAGCGAGTTTCACTGTGTTAAGGGATGGACGGGAGGAAGTGAGGTATTTGGAGAGGAGAGAGGCGGGGGAGAAGGAGGGTGGGGAGAGGAAAGAGGAGGGAGAAGGAAGAGGAGTAGGAGCGAGTGGGAGGGGATCTGGATTTGAGTTTGATACTTCAAAGGTCTCAAGCGGATGCAGTCAATCAAACGAGGGAGAGAAGGAGAGGCGGATATCGGGGGGAGAGGAGGAGGAAGAAGAGGAATACGACGAGGATGATGACGACAACTCTGACACTAACGAGAGTGACAATATCGAGGATGACTGTATTATATGGGATGACGGGCTTCAGGATATCAGGGCACTGTTCGCCCCTAAGCAGTCCGTTACGACCCCCTCTGGAAAATCTCCCTCTGCTTCTTCCACCTCCTCTACCCCCTCAGCAGCAGCACTTACACCCCAAGGGAGACCTGAAGCCACTAGCCCTGTCTTCTCTAACCAGAACCAGCAGAAGCAGCAACACCTGCGAACGCAGTCGGAGGTGATTCTTGACTCGACTCAGAAGTCACCTAGAGCCGCTAACTCGATTTTCTCAGACCGGCAACAGCAGAACCACCAGCGGGCCTTCTCAGTCGCTGTAACGCCTAACTTATCCTCTGACTCGAGTAAGCTGACAGCTGACAGCAAGACATGTGCACCAGGGGCACCCACAGAAGCAGCAGCATCCATAGCAGGAACTCCGAAAGGGCCGCGGCTGGGAGCAAGGATTCTATTGGAGCGAATCCGGGACTATCAATGGCTGGCGGAATGGCTAGGGATTGACCCTGATGAGCTGCTAATCCACAAAGTCCTCTCCGTTGTGCCTGTAGGCATGCTCCTTACTGACCTGGGCGTGCCACGCTCGTTAGAGTCCGGTTTGTTAGAGTCACAGCGCCCGCTGCTGCTGCGGGTGGTGCTGCCTGAGTTCCGGGAGGAGGTGAAGAGGCGGTTGGTGGGTGCAGGGCTGGCGTGGACGGAAGGGATGTTGATCAAAACTGTGGTGTTTGAACCGAGGAGGAATGCTGCTGTGTTCACGACAGGAGGTGGTAGTGCTGCTGCTAGCGGCGGTGCTTCCGGTGCTGTTGCTGATGCTGCCGGTGCTGGTGGTGGTGGTGGGGAAGCGGGTGCAGCGACTGGTGCTGCTGCAGCTGCAGCAGCAGGAGGAGGGAAAGGATTGACCAAGAAACCCAGCCACAGCCGAACCAAAAGCGCCGAAGACATGCAAGAACTATCCCCGTTTGTGTCACATGCGGTACAAGAATCGCTCACAGCAGGCGGCGGGCTTGCAAAACAGATTCCCCTGGAGGACATTCTGGCAGCGACAGACTCGTGGAGCCCTGAGAGGAAGCTAGGGGAGGGCGCGTATGGCACGGTGTTCAAGGGGATTGTTGGGCGTGGTGGGGAAGGTGGAGATGGCGAGATATGGGCAGTGAAACGGGCGGGCAATGTGTCGGGGTCTCATCTGGAGGAATTTGAGAAGGAGGTGAGTTGGATTCGGCTGGGCTTGGCTGGGCCGGGCTGGGCTGGGCTGGGTTGGGCTGGGTTGGGCTGGGTGTAGCTTCATAAGGCTAAGCCAGATTCCCCTGGAGGACATTCTAGCAGCAACAGACTCGTGGAGCCCGGAGAGGAAGCTAGGGGAGGGCGCGTATGGCACGTTGTTCAAGGGGGTTGTTGGGAGCGGTGGGGAAGGTGGAGATGGCTGTGAAACGGGCTGGGAATGTGTCGGGGTCTCACCTGGAGGAGTTCGAGAAGGAGGTGAGTTGGGATGGGCGGGGTTGGCCTGTGTTGGGCTGGGTTGGGTTAGGTTCGGTTGGGTTGAGCTTCCTAAGGCTCGAATTACCCTAGCAGCGACAGAGTCGTGGAGCCCTGAGAGGAAGCTCGGGGAGGGCGCGTACGGCACGGTGTTCAAGGGGGTTGTTGGGCGCGGTGGGGAGGGTGGAGATGGCGAGATATGGGCTGTGAAACGGGCTGGGAACGAGTCGGATTCACATCTGGAGGAGTTTGAGAAGGAGGTGAGTTGGCGTGGGATGGGTTGGGATGGGTTTCGTTGTGTTGGGCGGGGCTGGGCTGGGCTGGGTTGGGCTGGGTTGGGCTGGGTTGGGCTGGGTTGAGCTTCATAAGGCCCGTGAAGCAGATTTCCCTTGAGGACATTCTGGCAGCGTCAGACTCGTGGAGCCCGGAGAGGAAGCTAGGGGAGGGCGCGTACGGCACGGTGTTTAAGGGGGTTGTTGAGCGCGGTGGGGAGGGTGGCAATGGCGAGATATGGGCAGTGAAGCGGGCAGGCAATGTGTCAGGGTCTCATTTGGAAGAGTTCGAGAAGGAGGTGAGCTGGATTGTGTTGGGCTGGGTTGAATCGGTTGGGATGGATTGAATTGGGTTGGTTTGGGCTTCATAAAGCTTATGAGGCAGATTCCTATAAAGGACATCCTAGCAGCAACAGACTCGTGGAGCCCTGAGAGGAAGCTAGGGGAGGGTGCATATGGCACGGTCTTCAAGGGGATTGTTGGGCGCGGTGGTGGGAGTGAAGGTGGCGAGATATGGGCAGTGAAGCGGGCAGGGAATGTGTCGGTGTCTTCTCTGGAGGAATTTGAGAAGGAGGTGCGTTAGGTTGGGCCGGTTTGGGATTGGTTGGGTTGGGTTGGGTTGGGTTGAGCTTCATAAGGCTCACGAGGCAAATTTCCCAAGATGGCAGAAGGTGGAGAGCGGTGGGCTGTGTGGTGGGCTGGGTTGGGTGTTTGGGCTGTAATGACATAGTTTTGAGTGCAGGGTTTTAGCTGGAGGAAAATCGGGAAGGAGAGGGAGGGCTGGGTTGGGCGGGGTTGTCTTTCCATATCATTCAGTGCCCCCGTCCCCCATTCTCCCTTCCCGGTCCTCCCTCGTGTTATGTGTCCTTCATGAGTCGCATGGCCCACCAGCTCCTTGTGCTCCTCAACTGTGCCATTGCTGTTACTCATTGTCACCCCTTGTCACTCCTTGTCACTCCTTGTCACTCCTTGCCTCCGTTCTCCTGTGCCCTGCCCTCCTAATCCCAGGTGTCATTCATGAGTCGCATGGCCCACCAGCACCTCGTGCGCCTCACAGGCTTCCGTACCAGTCCGGTCAATTCTTGTCACTCCTTGTTACTCCTTGCTACCCCTTGCCACCTCTCGCCACCATTCCTCCTACCAGGTGTCATTCATGAGTCGCATGGCCCACCAGCATCTCGTGCGACTCATAGGCTTCTGGGCGGATTGTGACGAGCGAATTCTCATCTACGAGTTTATGCACAATGGCACGCTCGCCTCCCGTATCCACCGTGCCGTGGTGCCTGCATCCCCTACTGGAGGTGGGTCTCATGGGCTCGGCTGGGCTGGGCTGCTTGCACTGTGTGACGAGCGCTGGACCATTAACAAGTTTATGCACAATGGCACGCTCGCTTCCTGTATCCACCGTGCCGTGGTGCCTGCATCCCCTACTGGAGGTGAGTGTCTGGGCTGGGCTGCTTGCGTTGTGTGACGAGCAAATGGCACAATGGCACCTTCGCATCTCGCATTCACCGCGCTGTGTTTCCGTCATCCCCTACAGGAGGTGAGTGCTGTGTCGTGTCCCAACTGGTGTGCGTGCCACGAGTGTTATGCACAAAGTGTTCTGCACTGAGTTGAGTAGTGCGACGAGTGCATTCGCATCTACGAGTTCATGCACCACAGCACCCTCTCTTCTTGCATCCACCGTGCTGTGGTGCCTGCATCCCCTACAGGAGGTGAGTGCTGTGTCCCAACTGGTATGCGTGCCACGAGTGTTATGTTATGCACCAAGTGTTATGCACTGAGTTGAGTACTGTGACGCGCGAATTCTCATCTGCGAGTTCAAGCACCATGGCACGCTCTCCTCTTGCATCCACCGTGCCGTGGTGCCTGCATCACTCTCTGGAGGTGGACGTCATGGGCTGGGATGCTTGCAATGAGAGATGGCCGCAAGCAAATTCTCATCTATGAGTTCATGCACAACGGCACCCTCAAATCCCGCATCCCAATTCCTCTCCCTCTTTTACCCTCCCTTTCCGCTCTCTCTCCCTTCAACTCAAATCCCTCAACGGAATAATTGCACAAGAAGGCCCCCCCTTTCCCTCTCCCATTTGACAAGCGAGTAATGATTTCTGCCGGAGCATCCAAGGACCTGCGCTACCTGCACACACATCTTGCCCTCGGTGGTTCTCGTTTTCACCCATGCTTGTGCCCTTTCCCCTCTCTCCTTCTAATCGTCCTCTGAACAGAAGCACCGAAGAAGGCGCCCCCTCCCCCTCTCACTTTCGACGAGCGTGTCGCCATCTCGGTAGGGGCAGCCGAGGGCCTGCGCTACCTGCACGATTTTGCCCGCCCGCCCGTGATCCATCGCGATATCAAATCGGAGAATATCCTGCTGGCAGCGGATCTGCATGCCAAGGTGGCGGATTTCGGGCTGCTGAAAACGAATGACCAGGGTGGGCCCGGGCGGCATGTGGCGAGAACGAGGCTGGTGGGCACGCCTGGGTATTGTGATCCAGAGTATTCCCGGACTTACATCGCCACGCCCAAGAGTGACGTGTACAGGTGCGTGTGTGGGAGAGTGAGAGGTGTATTATAGGGTGGGAGTGTGGGAGACGTGAGGGTAAGTGAGACAGGTAGGTGTGAGTGTGGGAGGACGAGACAGGCAGGTGTAAGTGTCAGGGAATGGGTTGTTGAAAACGAGTGGCCAGGGCGGGCCAGGGTGGGATGTGGCGAGAACGAGGCTGATGGGAACCCCTGGGTATTGTGACCCGGAGTATTCGCGGACTTACATAGCCACGCCCAAGAGTGACGTGTACAGGTGAGCAGCGAGCACGCAAGAGGCTGCTGAAAGTGAGTGGTCAGGGCGGCCCGGGCGGCATGTGGCGAGAATGAGGCTGATGGGTATCCTGCCGGAGTTGACTTGGAAGCCCTGAGGCATCCTCAAACCCCCCCTCCCATATGCACATCCATGTGTGTCTGTCTCTGCAGCTTTGGGGTTGCTGCTGGAGCTGGTGACGGAGTGCCGGGCCATCTTGGGCGAGCGAAACCTAGTCAGAAGTCGAGGATGGGGGCTAAGCAATGTGGCTTTGCCACCCTGATGGAGGCACTGAGCATTGTTGCTTTGGGGAGGCACCCAAACACCTCTTGTACGAGTTTCATATATGTGTGTGCGTGTCTTGTTTGCCCGTCTGTCTCTGCAGCTTTGGGGTTGTTCTTCTGGAGCTGGTGACGGGCCGCAGAGCCATCCTAGCAGAGCCGAGCCAGAAGACAGGGATGAACCTGGGCAACGTAGCATCGCTGCTGCAGCGCTCCAAGCACAATGCCAAAGCGAGCGCCATGGAGCCAGGGGCCACAACTACGCTCGTGCAATGGGTGAGTGCGTGCATGGGTTGGGTCTGTATGTATGCGGGTAGGCTTGCTGGCCGGTATGTCGGTGAGTGGCTTAGGCCTGGGCAACGTCGCGTCGCTGCTGCAGCGCTCCGAGCGCAACATTGAAGCGAGTGCCATGGAGCCAGGGGCCACCACCACAGTCATGCAATGGTTGAGTGTGGGGTGTGTGAATGTATGGGTTCACATGTGTGGGTATTCCCGCTGGTTTGGGTGCTTCCGTGTGTTGGCCTGTGCGAGTGTGTTTCACACTTGGGCAGGTGAGGGTGTTTCTGCAAGTCTGTGATGATTTTAGAGGCACTTTTTGGCAGGTGTTTCTGCCATAGATATACTTGTGGACTTGAAGTTATTTCTCTTTCTCACGTACCATCTCACTCCCTCCTCTCCACTCCCCTCCATCCAGGCCATTCCTCTGATCACAGCAGGCAAGCTCAAATCCGTAGTTGACCCGGCCCTGGAAAACAACTACCCACCAGGAGGGATGAAAGCATTTGCCAATGTGGCGGTCATGTGCGTCCAAAAAAGCGCCGCCCAGCGGCCGACCATGGCTGAGGTGGCGACACGCCTGTCTGCCATCAAACACAAGGTGCAAGACCTGCACATTCAGGGGGAAGAGCGCAAGTATAACTTCCAACCCACTATCGGAACTGGTGCTCCGCCTGGTGCTGCTGCTGCTGCTGCTGCGCCCATTCCAAGAGCACAGTCGGCCCCTCGGCCCAAATCGCCAGCTCCAAAGGTGCCGCAGAAAAAGGCTGGGGAGAAGAGCGGGAGTGGGGCGGGAGCAAAGGCAAAGGCGAAGGATGCAGGCGTTGGGGAGGGGAAAGAGACGAAGGGGAAGAAGGCGGGAGGGAAGGGGGTTACGCGGGCCAAGAGTGCGGCGCAGCCTTATTTGGGGGCTAAGGATGCAGTGGAATTCAGCTCGCAACATGTGACAGGTAAATATATCGCAATGATGTGACCAGGGCTGATTTTATCAGGGTAATTACCCTGATTTCAGGGTGATTTCAGACTTGTCACATTCTGGTCCCTGTAATTTCAGGTTTAACGTCTTCTGAACACTGATCTTGTCAGAGTAGTACTTTAGCGAACCCTGGAATTTTGTATACACTCACAGAGTAGTGTTCTTAAGGACCCTGTCCATACAGAGTATGCGTCTTGTTGACCCTGAATGCAACGTTATCGAGACGAAGCTTCCAGGAATCTTCGTCCCGATAACCCACATGTGCGTAATCATGATTACGCTTGCTCCCATCTCAAAGACTCCATTTGCGCTATCCAGGTTATCGCAGTACACTACGTTTCTGTTAGAATTACTAAACATTCGATTTCTAATTTTGGTTATCTGTAAACTTAAACCGAGAAAACAAATCACGGTCTGGCGGATCGCCAAGTGATTCGGCAGGAGATAAAAGAAAACCATCCGTAGTGAAACACCGTATTGCCATGTGACTGATAGTTTTTAGTAATCAGCTGTTTTTCGTTGTCTGCACCAATGCAAATGCATTCCCAGTCGTAACTGTATTCAAGAGAGGACCGGCCCCAGGCCTTAAACCGTATCGCCCCTCTCCTCCCAGCTTAACTTTGGAAAAACATGTGTACATTAGAATAATTGTGAAACTAAACGAGACACTAACATTGAAAAACGCCCCCCCCCCCACAACCCCCCCCCCACCAAAACCAGGTCGAGTCTCGACACCCCTCCCATGAGCAGTTCGTTCCCCCATTTCCTGCCCCCCGTCTCCCCCTTTTGTGCGGACGACCCGCGGTCACGAAATAGCCCCACCCCCACCCATCCCTCTCACTTGCTCCCTCCCCCTTTGCACACCCCTCGCTCTCGCCCCTGCGCCCCTAGGAGATCCTCCCTCCCAAGCCACATGCACTCACTCCAGCCAATCCGCCAATCCAGCTAGATTTCTCGCGTCAAACACGTCACTGCTTTTATCGCCAAACTAGAAAGAAGTAAAAATTAAACCCTGAATGTTACAATCCCAAGTGGGACTTAGCAAAGGATCGCTCAGGGTTGATCGCGGAGTAGTGTTGCAGCGGAAGTTTGAATCTCAGGTCAGAGTGAATGTAAATTACTGAGTTGATAATAGCATGCATACATCGAGTTTATATAAGAGTACAAGGGAATACGAAAGTGTCAAATGTTGTAGCCTGTAGTGAGGTTTGTCTTAGGGGGTACAGAAGTTAGGGTTTGTCATATGTACCCCAACCAACATCAATGGACACACCATTCCTCATTCTGACATGGTATCAGCTAGGTTAGGATCCTGTGGGATCCCGTTCCTCCGTTCTCCGTTCGTACCTCCCGAGCCTGATCCTACCTCTCGTTCGTACCAGTTGCGTTGTTACCGAGCCTAGCGCCCTTTCCCCCGTCGCTTAGCGCCCTTTCTCCCCGTCGCCTAGCGCCCCCCCCCCCCCCGTCGCGTCGCGCCCTTTCCCCCCCCCCCGTCACGCCCTTTCCCCCCGTCGCGTCGCGCCCGTTCCCCCTGTCGCGTCGTGCCCGCCTGTTCCCCCCCCCGTCCCGTCGCCCTGTCCCGTCGCGTCGCCCTACCCCGTCCCGTCGCCCTGTCCCGTCCCGTCGCCCTGTCCCGTCGCGTCGCCCTACCCCGTCGCGTCGCCCTGCCCCGTCCCGTCGCCCTGCCCCGTCGCGTCGCCCTGTCCCGTCGCGTCGCCCTGCCCCGTCGCGTCGCTCCCGCCCTTTCCCCCGTCGCGTCGCCCTACCCTAGGCCCTGGCCCGTCGCCCTCCCTAAGTCATGGCCCGTCGCCCTACCCTAGGCCCTGGCCCGTCGCCCTACCCTAGGCCCTGGCCCGTCGACCTACCCTAGGCCCTGGTCCGTTGCCCTACCCTACGTACTGGCCCGTCGCTCCAGCCCGCTCTTCCGCAGCGACTGAGTCCTCTTCCCCCCCGGTTGTTACTCGCCTATTTGTTCGCTTTAGTCCTCACTATGGCGACTCCGCGAGTTCTTCGTTTCGACGCTGACGGTAGACCCCTTGACTTTTCCGTCTGGCTTCTTCGCGCTCGCCGTCTGTTAGAGAGTCAGGTCCAGGGGGGCGAGACCCTCTGGTCACACGCTACTGGTGACCTCCCTGAGCCCCCCGAGCCTACAGCTTTAGGCCCTGCTCCTGACGACGCTGCTACGGCTCGCTTTGCCCGTCAGCGCGCTGACCGGACGGCTTGGACGTCGCGTGACGCTGCGGCCTGCATCGCACTCAGCAGCCTCCTCCCTGAGTCCGAGGAGGTCCACTTTACTCAGGTTCGCACCGCTGCTGCGTACCTCACTGCGATTAAGGCCCGCTACTCTACTCCCGCTACTGTCTCTCTTGGCCGTCTTTTCCTCCCGTTCCTGTTTCCTGATCTTGCCTCGTTTGAGCGCTCTGCTGACTTGATCGCTCACCTCCGCTCGCTCGACGCTAGTTACCGCGCTGCTTGCACTGAGGCACAGCTTGCACTGCTTCCTCCCCCCATGGCGATTACTGTCTATTTCATCGCCACTAGCCTCCCTGACCGCCTTGCCTCCGTTCGTGACGCGCTTCTGCTGAAGCACCCTAGAGAGCTGACTATCGAGGTCCTTGAGTCTGCACTCAAGGACGTCGAGAGCAACCTTCGTTCGGTAGCTGCCGCCTCTGGTACTGTGTCCCCCCCACTCTTCCACGGGTGCACAGTCCCGCAGTTACCCACCTTCACTGCCTCTCTTGCCACTGCCGCTACTGACGCGACTGCGGCTGCTGTTACGACTGCGTCGCGGTCCCGCGGCAGGGGGGGCAAGAAAGGTGGTTCTGGTGGAGGTGGAGGCGGAGGTAGCGGAGGTAGTGGGGGTGTTGTTGCGACTGGGGGTGGTGGGAGTGCAGCGTCTGGAGAGACCCCTCGTGCAGCGGCTGGTGACTCCACTGCACCTGCTGGTGGCGGCGACCCCCGAGCTCGTCAGTCGCCTCCTGTACTGCCGGCCCCGCTAGGTGGAGCAGCGGCGTGGTACCAGGCTCAGCATCAGCAGCACCTTCAGCAGCAGCAGCAGCCCCTTTCCTCCCAGCAGCCTCAGCAGCAGCAGCGTCAGCAGCTGGCTCCGGGGTCGGGGCTGCGTCAGCCCCAGCGCGGTGCGGCTTACCCTCCCTGCCCCTACCGGGTTCAGACAGGTCCTCGTCGGGGCCACCCTTGTGGCCGCTTTCACCCCCCTGGTCAGTGCTTTGCTCAGCTCACTGACACGGTCCGGTTGACCTACGGGGTTGGCGGTCCTGCTCCTGACTGGCTTCCTCTGGTTCAGCGCTACGGCTCCGCTCTGTGGGGCATGTCTGCTGAGCAGTTAGTTGATCTGATTAGTGCTCCTCATGCTATGTATCCTGTTGTTGACTCTAGTGTTTCTGACTCTGTTTACTCTGGTGTTGTTAGCTTAGGTGCTAGTCTTGCTCAGTTGCCTGTTGCTAGTGTAGGTACTTGTGTAGACTCTAGACCAGCGACTACCTCAGGGGACGCTTCGCTGTCGTTCACACTGGACTCTGGAGCCTCCCACTGCTTCTTCCGGGACAGCACGACACTTACACCACTTCCTGCGCCTGTTTCTGTAGCGTTGGCTGATCCCACTACGGGACCAGTCACTGCCCGTCACACTACCACTTTACCGTGTCCTGCTGCTCCCTCCGGGTCTCTCACTGGGTTTCACGTCCCCTCGTTCTCCCGGAACTTGGTGGGCGTGCGACCCCTCGTGAGTCAGCACGTGGGTGTGTGGTTTGAGCCTTCTGGAGAGACTGCGGTGTGTGTTGACGGAGACTCTTACCAGCCTCTTGCTACCTTTACTGCTGAGCCGGGCTCGGGTCTCTACACTCTTCACACTGGCCCGCGTGCGCCGCAGCAGCAGCCGCAGCAGCACCAGCAGCCGCAGCCGCAGCAGCAGCAGCAGCACCAGCGGCCGCACCAGCAGCCCCCCCTACTGCCACTGCCCCCGGTTCCCCCCCCTCGTTCGGGTCCCCGTGTCTCACCAGGTTGCTTCGTCCCCCCAGGTGTCTGTGTCGTGTCAGGTTCCTATGTCTGTTCCAGTCGCTGCGTCGTGCTCCTGCCGGTCGCTTGCCCACCCCACCGTTCTGTGGCACCACCGGATGGGGCACCCGTCCCTTCCTCGTCTGCGCGCTATGTCTAGTCAGCGTCTTGTCCTAGGCCTCCCACGTGTCTTGCCGTCGCTGCCGCCTTCGCTTGCGCCGCCGTGTCGTCCCTGCGTCGAAGGTAGGCTGCGCGCCACCCCTCACTCCTCCTCCCTTTGTCCGGCCACCGAGCCTTTTGAGACGCTTCACTTGGACGTCTGGGGCCCCGCCCCTCGTCTAGGCCCTGAGC